ATCCCTAATATTCTGTGATTCTGTGAAAGAACCTTAACCTAGGGCATGCTGCTGAGACTTGAGGAGCTCTCAAAACCTATCACTGGTATTTTGGTTTTCTTGCCCTTGAAAAGCAGCGTTAGAAAGATTCTGCATTCAAGCATTTGCTAATTGACCTAAAGACTTTCTTGGTATAAACTGTTCTGACTTATTACTGGAGAAGACCATTCTCAGTCAAAAGCTATGAAAGACTAAAGTAAAAGACAAAAAAAGAAACCTCCTCAGTTAGTGTTTTGGATTTATAGACAAATGAGGGATTGACTCCGTCTTTAAAATAAATAGATGACTTAATTTTGTTTAACCTCTCCCCCTTCTTTAGCTGGAAAGGCAACTACTGATGCAGAACCAGATGAGAGAGAGACAAACTGCCATGCAGATTGCTTGGACACGGGAATTTCTCAAATATTTTGGAACATTTTTTGGACTTGCTGCTGTAGGTTTAACAACTGGGTATGGATTTTATTTCCTAATTGAAAATGTATTACATTTATTTTTCTATCATGCTGGATCTTCCTTTTGCGTTATAACAGGGAGTTATTTTTATCCCGTAACTGCTCAGAGGCTGATCAGATGACAAAGTGACTCTAATTTCTGACTGCTTCCGGATGTGTTTTAGTTATGTCTGTACTACAAACTTACATAAAAACAGAGACATTTGAGCTGACAATAAAATGATACAGCTGAGATTCCAAAAGTTCAGTGTAAAATAATAGTTGTGTGTGGAACAGGAGGGATTGTTTACAAGCCATGCTATTTTCTTGTCTGTATTATGATTTAACAGCCTATTAATAAGCAACAAATCCTCCACCATCTGGGTTTTTTAATGTATCATTTAACTTAAAATTTGAATCAAGAAACTCACCCAAGGGGAATGAAACCTGGCTAACAAAGCTGTATTGCATGAGGAAGAGCTTGCCTTATAGGGCTTTTGTTTGTTAATGTGTTTTTCTTGTGCTATAACATGATTAGAGGGAATGTAGGAAATACTTGTGGTTTTGTGTACATAGTACAGATTAAATGCACCTTATGTATTATGCGTTCTCAGTGGATTCAGATGCACTTGGAACTGAACGTAGTATCTTGATAGCTACATGTTGCCTGTGGTTGGATGAATATATGCATGTGTACATGCATGCTACATGAGTTAAATAATCCAATTTTTGTTAGATATATTCAAAACTCACTTGAAGCAGTTTTTTTAATACCCTTGTGTTGACAGTTCAGAAAGAAGGCAAGCAGAAGATGAATGCTTCTGAGGAAATGAAAGTTTGTTCTTATTTGATTAGAGAGTGTAAAAGTAGACACAAGTCCTAGACAGCCAAGGTCGATGTTAACTAACAGTACTGATGTGCTGAATGTCCTGAATAATCTTGTGTCTTCCTTCTTTTTATTTATTTTTCTAATAGAGCAATAAAAAAGAAGAACCCAGGAGTTCTACTGCCAATAGTTCCCTTAAGCTTTATATTTGCCTATCAATATGATATGGGCTATGGGACACTGTTGCAAAGGATAAAAGGTATGTATATATAAGTCTGTCTGGTTCAGACATAGAACCAAGCTTAATATTTCAGATAACTTCTTATCTTTTTAGAATGGCTGGGAGAGAACTTGCAATAGATTTTCTCTTTTTTTTCTGGACAAAAATCTTACTCTTTAATTTTTTTTTCTTCTCTGTTACAATCAGATACTTTCCCAGTCAAGAGTATTCAATTTACTTTTACAGCCTTTCCCTCTAGTTAAAACTATTTGTTAATTTCTCCTCTCTTGTTTCAACAAATGTGAATTGTAAGGCTATACACTCAGCTGAAGTAAATATTGCATAATTGGGGGAAATGACAGATCTAGTGATTTCCTTCCATATTCCATTCCAGTGCTGCTGTTCTGGCAAGGGGTAGGGATGATAAGAGCAGATAAAGAGATACAGACAGGAATCATACCTTTGCCACCTCCATGACCAAACACAGTCAACAGCTGGTGATCTTGCCACAGTGCCTTGCTAAGATGGAAAAAAGAAAGGTGAGCCCCAGAAAGTGGGGTCTTGCCTCATAGTTGCCCATGGTGGATCTGATTAAATGATGGGTGTTGGGGATTACGGAGGTGCATTTATGTTAGCTTTGATTCCTAGTGAAGGAAACATGCTAAGAGAGTGGTCACTGTAAGCAAAGACAGCATTGGGCCTCAGCTTGTCACCTTCACAAATAGTTTTCATTAACTAGCTTGATTTTCCTGTCTGCTACTGACACAAAGGTACTGAAACAAAGTAAAAATCTGTTTCAGCTCTTGGTCTTAGCCTCCAGATCCAAGAGCTAGGTTTCCTAACTCTATGTACTTCATTGAAAATAGTGATAAATTAGTTAGACAAACTCTGAGATACTTCGTGTTTCATACAGGTGCAAATATATGTAGGTGATGAAGCATTGTGTATCTGCAAACATTTCCTAAACTCCACTGAATACATTTCTTTGGATTTTAATATGAAGAAGCAGCTAAGCTGTCCTGGTTTTTAGCTGGGACACAGCTGAATTTCTTTTTAGTAGCTAGAACAGCACTGTGTTTTGGTTTCAGTATGGGATTTGTTACAAGAAGAACATTGATAACATACCAGTGTTTTCAGTTGTCAGTGGAAGTCGAAGGACTTTGTGTCTTGCTAGTCTACAAGTGCAAGGTCTAGGGAGGGTGAGGAATATTAAAATTAATAAGCTAGATTGGCATTTGGAGATGCCAGTGGGACATTCCATATCATATAATGTCAGTATGCAAGGCTTGTGAAAAGGTTTTGGAGGAAAGAAGCTATGGAGCCAGCTGAACAGTAAGATAAAATGAAATATGCCAAAATAACTGTCTTTCCCAGGAAAATAATTTCTCTTTCCAAAAGAAATGTGGTAGATATACTATAAACTCATGAAAGCATTAGTGTGGTATCACTTGAAGATTAAGTTAGCATGAAGGACATGAAAATTAGTAGGCAGGTAAGCATTGGAGTAAAGAGGAGTTGCCAAAGATTTGTGCTTAAAGAGGAAGGCTAGGCTTTAGCAGGATTATTAGAAATATTCCTCAAGATTTGGTCTGGATCTGCTTCTGTTTTGTATTTGAAATTATGGGTAGGTTATACTAATCAAATCTGTGGCTGACAAACTTGGTTGGTGTCACCAACAGAGAAGAAGTAAACTGCAGTGTATGAAGAACTGATAACCTGAAAAAACTGAGATAATAAAATAGGATTCAATTTGATAAGAAAGTCAGCAAGAAGCTAAAGGCAAATATGAATTTCTACCATTAGAGCTTACCAGCTGGAAATGATAGAAAAAGAGGAAAACCTGAATGTATTACGTGGTCGTAGAATGGGTATAATCTAGTATTGTGATGAAATTATGAGAGTCAGGCAAAGTCTAGAAACATCAAGTGAGGTTTCCTAGTATCACAGTATGGTTGAGGTTGGAAGGGACCTCTGGAGGTTGTCTGGTCCAACCCCTCTGCTCATGTAGGATGACCTAGAGCCAATTGCCCAAGAAAATGTCCAGATGGCTTTTGAATATCTCCAGGGATGGATATTCCACAACCTTAGTACAGATAGAGAGTACAGACAGGAAGGTGTTGATGAAGGAATACAGTAATACCTTCTTTGGAAATTTATACATAATTTGGATCACTCCTGTGTGAGGAATCTAGAACTACTGAAGAGTTAAATTTATCAGGGAATGCCAACCTGCCTTGCAAGAGAAAGCAAAGTGTTTAGTTTGTGTAGCCTTGTAGAAAGACATGAGATATTTGGGTCTACAGATCCTACTTAAGGATAGGATAAAGGAAAGTAAGAGAAGGAAATTAAACTAGTTACTAATATCAGCACTAGAACAAAAGGAAGTGGGCTAGCCTGAATGAATCTGGGCTGAACATCAGAATAAGATTTGTAATTATGTGGAAATCAGGTTCAGGAGTTCATTTTTATTTTAAGATTAAAATTAAGTAATTGAAGAGAAAATTTGTGACACAACTGACCTGCAGCCACAGTGCCTGTTCTTACTACTCAGCTGATCTCTATGTTCACTCCAGTACTACTTTCTCAACCACTTCTCCGCTTGCCCACGTGTTCTGTTGGTGCATGACATGCTTCATCGCTGTACTGTAATAATGAATGTATACACCATTCCCTTTACTGTTCCTCTTTAACTGGTCTCTTTCCCCCAGGGTACGCCTGTCTTCATCCTCATGGCCCATTCCCTCTCCTAAACTAATCTGCTATTATTTCCGTGCTGCACAATCTTCCTTGTATCTGAACCATCTTGATCAGACAGGCCTGCGTCTGCTGTCCTTCATTCTTTGGAATCAGTTTATACCCCTGGAAGGTTTCTCTGTTTCTCTTTCACCGAGCATTTTGTCTCTGATCTTGCTTACGGTTAATTTTTTCTTCTCCCTCTAGTCTACTTGTCCAAACATCTTCTCATGACTTGCTTATTCTCCCACATTGAAATTGGAGGGTTTATTTCCTACTTAACAGCTTGGGCTACTTAAAGCAAAAACTGAGGATGGAGGGGGAAATACCTGTTTTGAGTTCTGCCTGTGTAGTTGAAAAGCCGTAAGTGTGACAGGGCCATGTATTGGAACCGAATCTTTTGGGGATGGCAGGGTTACAGAACAGCCCTCAGGTACACTATCTTTTCTGAACAGCTGAGGACACTAATAATCAGTCATAGACCTGTTATCTGTGTTCTTGGCCTTGCTGTTCTACTTTTCCTCCCAGTCCAGGTACATACTGCTGGTGTTTTTCAGGCAAATTACTAGAGGAGGGGAGGGATTATGTAGCCAGCCTCCAACTGCACAGAACTTCTCCACTCAGCAATGAAGCTCTGGCTACCCACATGAGAAGGATGGTGACTGGGAGATCTCCTCTAGTGCATGTGAGGGACAGGCATAGAAATTTGACTATCTGTAACCCCTCTCTGTCACCTAAGATCTCTTACTGTTCCTTGGTCAGATGCTATATGCAACTGACTGACACTGTGTTATTGCCATTTACTGGGAGTGATAGTCAGTGTCATCCTGTTGGTTACGACTGATGTCTGGAGATCCCAAGCACTGAAATACTAGCAGAATTGCAGCTGGAGATTACAGCATGCAGACCTGGTTTAAAGAATGACCACAATCTTAACTGCATTACAATTTGAGTCAAGTTTGTTGCACATAAATACAGCTTCAAATTGCTGCTGTAAAGTTCATCAAGCTAGGAGTTAAGGCAAGATTAAACAAGATTGTTGGGATTGTACCAAATGGCTTCAGCCAAAACAAACACATTCTTTGCCTAATCTTCATCTTCTTATATCATAATCAGACCACCACAACATATGTATGATGTTCAGTCTGTATCTTTGTTTTTTGGATTCTCTGTCCTAGATGTTTTCATTCCAGCCTTACACAGAGCATTCTGCTCCCTGCAACTTTTCCCTGTTATGCTGTTAAGACATAGGTAACTGTCTTAGCACATCTTTTTGTGAGCAGTATGCTTTGACCAATGCTTCTTCAAGTCCTGTGCTGCCTACTTTCTGCCTGTAGCCTGACATCTTTTAGCCTAAGCCTGAGACAAGAAGAAAAATTGTGCCCAAATACGGCATGTCTAGGACATGACATTCAGGGAATTTACTTGTTAAAGCCTATGTATGCTTTCATGTGTATGTCTGGTCCACCCTCTTCTCAGACTTCCAATTGCTCAAACACAGTATGTGGTTGGTACAGAGTACACAATGATGCTAAGTCCTTGCTGTATCTCATGCCTCCATTCCAAAGCATGTGCATAATAACTCTCTAAACAAAACACTGCGATAACTCAGTGTAGTCTTCAGGAGAAAGGGGCTAACAGAAATGGCAGCAACAGTCGCTGTTTTGATTGTTTTGGCTGAAGTCATTTCAAACAAATGCATTCTGAGGCAGATAGTCAGTTCAGACCACTTCCCTGTGCAGTTATCCCACCAGTACAAAATTCCTTAAAGACAGCTTTAATGCTATGTTGACATCAACCTGTTCATAAAATACATAGCTGTGACCTGGCATGTCATTGTTCTGCCCAAATAAGAATAGCTTAATCTGTTTCTTTTTTTTTTTTTTAAATTTCCTTTGCTTTCTCACAGTAAGGGTGAGAAAATTTATTTAATTTCTTTGTTTATTTAAGGTGAAGCAGAGAACATATTGGACACACAGAGCACTTTGCTAGAATTGCCAAAAGGACCGATCACTTATGAAGACCTGGAGCAAATGAGAAGATCTCAGAGCAAGTTCTTCATAGAAAAATAGGAAGCTGGTATTAAAGCTTAATATCTGAAATGTGATAGTAATACTGGCTTTGGACAAAAATTAATCATTAAAATTTGTATTAAATTATGGGCTTTTACAAAATCAATATTTTTTTTTTAAATCAATACTTTCAAAAGCAATAATTGTCATATTGTATGTATCTCTTGAAAATACACATTGTTGCTGTACTTGTTTTTCCTTGTTTAGAATGAAATACTGAATTTCCACTGTCTATTTAGAGTCTGAAAATAACTTTCACCTGTAGTAAAAATGTCTGGTACTGGCCAAACTCGCTATAATCAATGAAAATAAGTTAATTGGTAGTTACAAATTTGTAAAAATATGGTCATAATTTTCAAATATTTAAGGATGCATAGCTGAACTTGAAGTCAGGAATAGACAGTCAGCTTCTTTGAAAAATAAGACACTTTTTATTTGCTGTTCTTTAGGCAGTAAACTCACCATCTCTGCTTCAAATTCTGGAATAAACAGCTTTTATCAGAAGTAGCTTCAGAAGTAAACATGTCACTTGCTAACTGTGTGTTTTACTCTCAGGAAAAACTATATTAATGTATGAGCAGAGATAATTTCTCAAAAAGAGAAAACAAATTATGTAGCTATTTCCTGAATCTTTTTCATGCTTGTTTGACATTCTGAAAGTCAGGATAATTTGTTTACATGAAATCAAGAGTTTCACTACTAAGATGAATATTAACTTAGGCTAACAGCAAGCAAAATTATTACTGTATGTTTTTGTAATGGGTAGGTCCAAGGGGCTTTACAAGTACTGAAAAACTGAGGCATTTTTTGCATGCCTTTACTCTAGCATAGTATATAGCACAAATAGAATTTTAGTATATTTTAGTGTTCTGATATTACACTTGGCAAAAAAACCCACCATTTTTCTGTATTGGAAATCTTGATTAAAAACAGATCATTTTGTTTTTTGGATGGAAACTCTTCTAGCATTAGTCTAATTGTTGAATGAAAAACAAATGCTCAAAAAGCATCTAATAATGAATTAAGCCAAAGTCCTTATTGACAATTTGTTGAGTTAAAAATTAAATTCCAGCTGGAGATAATGCCCCAAATCTGTTTCTGAAGTCTACTTGACTACAATTAGAATACTGTTATAGTAAGACAGGTGAATATATAATAAAACAAAAGCATCTGACCATAGAATAAATTAATAGCAGTTTCCATAGCTGTGTAAGATTGATTTCTGAAAGTGCATTCAGTGACTTCTGTAACTGGTTCATCATCTGCATGTTAACGACGCATACTGTCTGTAGCAGATTTCAAATGTGATGCATTTTAATGTGCAGAGTGATAAAATGGTTTATAATAGGCTGTTTGGTTATAATAACTTGGTCTACACTTTGGCTGTTTAGGACTTAAGGCAGTGATTTTAATTATCTTGGAAGGAGTGCATTGACTCAGCCTGTGCTGCTACCCATGTTCTGTGAGCTCACAAAATGCAGCCCAAGACCACCTTACATTTTCTCCTTGTCTTAAAACATAATAGGGACTTTTTATAAGGGCAGTTAATGACAGAACAAGGCGAAATGGCTTTAAGCTGAAAGAGGGGAGGTTTAGATTAGATATTAGGAAGAAGTTCTTTACTGTGAGGGTGGTCAGACACTGGAACACGCTGCCCAAGGAAGTTTTGGATGCCCCCTCCCTGGAAGTGTTTAAGGCCAGGCTGGATGAGGCTTTGAGCAGCCTGGTCCAGTGGAAGGTGTCCCTGCTGATGGCAGGGTGTTGGAACTAGATGATCTTTAAGGTCCCTTCCAACCCAAACCATTCTGTGATTCTATGGTAATCCCTCACCACTTGTTGCTGTATTATCTACTACTCTTAGATAATATGTTGCCCTGCTTACTTGTTTTGCTTTGAATAATATAATCTACTTCCTTTCCTCCAAGTTCTGAAGTCCACCTTACTTTAATTTTGAAGAAGTTATAATAGGCTTTTGTGTTTTGATCTCTGTCATCTATTGATACTCTTTCTTCCAAGAAAGAAAAGCAGTTAAACCAGCTTGTTTTGGTATTTGTATGTCTCCAGCTTTGCCTTTTAACCTACCTTTTAATCCTATGGAAGACATTTTTACAAGAGAGCAGTTTAATAGTCCATACAGCAGCTTTACTTACAAATCCTAGAAAATAAGAAAATATCCTAATCCTGTCAATTAGTATCTGTGTGTTTGCGATAGATTGCTGGCCATGGTGTTGGATCAAAAGGTGGTATTAAAGGAAGCAAGCAGGATAAGCAAAATAATGACCCAGATAGCAGTTTTAGGAGATAATAGGATAGCTATTTATTACTCTATCCTAGCTAAATTTGATTTTTTTTTTTTTCCTCACAAAGGTTAAACTTAGATCAATAGAGTTAATCCATTGCAAGACTGCGCACTAAAAAGCGACAAAAATGGAGCAAGTTTCATTCAGTGTTACACAGCGAGTACTAGTGAAAGTTAACAGATTTATAAGGGAAAAGAACAGGCTGTAAGCAGGACAGTCTAATGCCAAACCCACAAGTGGATTTAAACGGGCTTCATGGAATGTGCCAAAGATCATCAAGAAGTTAAGGGCTAGTTACCTTTACTGCCTTTATTTTTTACTGTCAGCTTTGCTTTTTTCTTGATAAATACATGCTTTTGTTTTGGAGATGCTCATTCTTTGTTACAGAGTATTTATTCTGCCAGTGTATTAATCAAAATACTTGCATGTGCTAAGCCCAGTCATATCTGTCGTATAGATATCCAGCTACAGAGTGGTTCAACTGTATTATTTCCTTCAGAGAACAACGAAAGAAAGCAGGAAAGCTTACCTTTGACAGGGTCAACTTCAGGAAAATAGAGGTTTACAGCACAAGTTGTTCATAATCATAATATCAATTGTACTCATAGAAATAAATAAATAAAGCACCTAAAACACCCTACTCCCTTCTGTCCTTGATGCTTAACTGGCTTTAGCTGTAAGACTTGCTTTAGTATATCACCACGACTGTCTTTGTTTAATGAATCACTGGGGAAGGGAAGAATAACCACTGGGGGAGCTTTTTCTGACCCCAGGGCATTACTCTTACCACGTTAATCCTGTTGGTTTTTCTGGTCATAATCTCTGATAGCCATGTATCATAGAATCATAGAATGGTTTG